ACGATATATTAAGATATATCAGCTTCCCCTCGAAGTACAGGGGATTCATGACACTCCAAAACAAACCATGAAAAGTTTTAAAATACTGAAGCAGGACTATAAAAAAACTCAAACAACTCAAACAACCGGAGCGGTTACGACCATAAAATAAACAAATGGTTTTGGCGTTTACGAGTTATGCGGCAATCAAAACTCATGACGTCGCCGAGCGGTCCTACTCTGCAGTGGAGACACGACTACTGAGAGGACCGAGGGAGAGGAAGGTTCCTGTAAAACAGGGGTGCTCAATACGTCGGTCGCGATCTACCAGTCGATCGCAAAGGTATCTACCAATCGCATTACAATAAAAAAAAGAGATAAAAAACAGAGATAACAGGAGCACGCCACAGTACGCCCCCAAAACAACAACAAACAAAACGTGCGACCTCTGATCACTGAAGCATGGATCTTACTGCCTTAAAAACTGTTTGCTGCTGCAAGCGGTTCGCTCCACATCAGAGAGCAGCAAAGTGATCACAGGGACTCACAGTCAAAAACAACTGAAACAGGAGCTAAACCAGGATCAAACCAGGGCTGAGAACGGGGGTCAGTGCTTATGAACATAATTATGTCTTTATCGTGAGTTTCTTCTATGACTCTAAGTGCCGCTACAGAAGTACTGGCGTCTGCATCAAAGCTCCGCCCACTTCTGTGTTTTCCCCCCAACGCAGGACAGGACGTCAGAGACGCACATGTTTGGAATGTTATGAATGTCATTGAAAACGCAGATGTTCGGTTATATGTGAATGCAAATTATTTCATAAATCATGCGGTTTTGCATGTACAACAACATACGTTGTAAATATAAAGAATCCTCAATATATTTAGACATAAATATATGTTTTGCATTTTTGTAGTAGGTAGATCATTTTGACTTGATCATTTTATAAGTAGCTCGCATACTGAAAAAGTGTGAGCACCCCGCTCCTTTAACCAGGAACTCTTGCTGTGGAAACGCGGCTATAAAGATCGTATTTTGTGGGAATCTTAGTGTCCCTTGTCATCCTGAAATGTTCTTCTTGTTAAATACTTGGTTTTCTATAAATCTACACTTTAATGCAACAAACTCTGCTCAATTGGTTCCCGCTCTAACTCAAAAATCAGCTCAGATCAGCAGCTCTGATTGGTCAACACGGGGCCCCTCTGCAGGTGCATGAGAGCCAAAAGACATTTAGGTGAGGATAATCAACCAGACACATAATTATCAATTCCACATAAACATACTCATAAATGCAAAGGGTGAAAATGGCAAAGTAAGCATTCTCATGGTTTCCAATGGTAAAAAGGACGTGTAATATTTATATTTCTGCGTAAGATGGAACTCTTTTTAATCATAAAGTTCCATTTCACTTTACTATATTAATATAGCACCTAGTTTCCAGAGTGCTGCACAAGTCCGCCAGCTTGATGTGTGTAAAAATAGAAGATAAATAAAACATGAAGATACAACAATAAACAAATACAATAAAGAAAAACAAGTATATATTGTTGCATATTTCAGAAATGCAGCAGACGTCGATACACATTTTCTATCATCCATGTATCAACATCTATGAAAATATGAAATTCTATATCTAATCATGAAATATCTCCATTGAAATGTTTCCATACTATTGATTAATCACCAAGTGTTATTCTAAAGTGTTTTCATAACTTCAGGAACTCATTTCCTGAAGTCAATGAGTTTACAGAAAAACAATAGATAGCCTTGAAAATGTTTCTTTCGAGAAAGGGAGTCTTCCTTATCGCACCGGACAGGAAACCAGACCAGACCAGAACCAGACCAGGGTCCGGGCACTTCCTATTCTTCTAGACATTTTTCATAAAACTGTTGGGGAGCACATTTTGAAGAGCAGTCTGAGCCAGGGACAGAGAGAGGGGACATTGCAGAGTGCCTGTTGTCCTCTCTGTACATTTTCAGGCCTGGAGGGATAGGCTCAGCTCATAGGGCTAGTTAGGGAAATAAGAGCTCCGAGAGTTTTGTATTAATATTTAATTGTAAAGAGAATTAAATATTGTTTTATTGGAACTCTGGAAAATCTTGCTTTTGTTTCCTGTATCAAATTCTGAGACACATAAGTTTTTTTGACAATAATATGCATAAATAAAATAAATAAAAAATAAAACAGGATTAAATAACTCTGTAGAATTAATTAAGCCGGTGAGAAACAGCAAGCCCTAAGAACTTAAATACAGTGTACAGTTATTTCAGTTCCTCTCTTTACGAGATAAAATAAGTTTAGGAATAATATTTGATCTTCTTAATATTGAATCTGCATCCATGCATCTTTAAAAAGAAGCTTGCGTGAGGAGAACACCAGGTCCCTGCTCTCTCGGTCCTCAGTGGAAAAGGGAGGACCGAGAGGCCTGGCCGCCTATACTTTTGTGCCATGGAGTAGTAGGACAACTGGGCCTCCAAGATCGGTCCCAACCTCAGCCCCAGGTTTGAGAGGACTTCCACAACCCTTCAATAGCTTCCAGCTTCAACCTGGAGAAGTTGCTAAACTGTGGCTCCTAGACTGTGGATCGTGGGAGGACTTGGTTCAGCCACATGATGCAGCCGCATGGTCCAGTCCCCATGACCAAGGGCTGGCCTCCATCCATCACCATCAAGACCCAACAAGGACCGCCATCGACCGATCTACTCTGTATTGTATATACTGCATTAAATCTACAAAACCATCTTTGTCTGAAAGTGATATTTGTACTGATTTAACTCCAGAATTTGTGTCACTGATTTGTAAAAACGATTCATACCTTCACATTCTATTGAAAAGAATTGGACTAACTAGCTAATTAAATAATTAATCACTCATATGTTTACAGATTCAATAAATGAGCCAATTAATAGATAACGTGACGTCATACGCACGTTATCAGTTGTGATTTGTTCACTGGTGCCCCAAAGTAAAGCTATTATCAACTATTGTATTTACTACATGATTGTTTTTGATCCAATTCTCAGATATCAACTTCAATAACCCCTACATTTAGTACACCTTTATCTTCAGTCGCTCATCCTTTTGATCTATGCATGTAAACACAAGACACTGCTAGTCTTCTCGTCACTCCCAATGACTCATATTCTCCCCAAAAACACAATACAAAAATCAGACCACAATTCAAAAATCAGAAATAATTTGACATTAGTAATCTTTGTCTTTCATCATTCTGTTCTTTGAAATCTCCCAACGGAACGACGGCAACAGCAGGTGAAGTGTACCGACTCATTATGGGAGCCTGATCAAGTTGCGAAATGACAAGCGACAGAGAGCGCCATGCAAATCGATGGATCCCCACGAGAAATCAGCTCTAACACGCCAGGGCCCCAAATAAAGTTACTTACAAGATCAATAGAAACCCAATGTACTCCAGCAGAGAATGGCAGATTTAATATAGAGCTGACTGCAACGGACAAGAGAAAATCAAATGAGAGCATGTCGTATTTCCACCAATGGCAAGAGACGGGGCACAGCAGGTCTATCATTAAGCTGGAGTGTGGGAGTAGTTAAAAATGGCATTGATAAGTTGGCAAAGAAGTACTACTTAAAATACTAATGAGAGAATCTGGGGAAACTTTTCAAAGCAGTGATATTGAGAGAAAGCTTTTGATGGAGGTTGTGAAGTTGTGATATTTCAATTTAATATATTGGAGGACTTTGCAAAGTTGCAGATTTGACAACAACAGATCAAACAGTTCAAACACAAGAAATACAATAATAACAAATGCAAAAGGACAGGCTATAGATCCAGAACTCAGGAAAGATTAAAATGTTTTGGCAGTATCTGTACTTGAAATATTTAGTTTCTCAAATCCAGTTCATCTAGTTACTGATTTCTTAGCCAGTTTATTGCCGTGGTTATTTGTACTATTACACATGATTTTGAAGATCAGAGTAGGAAATAAAATTTCAATTTAAATAATAATAATTCCCATGTCTCTACCACCTCTCACTCCTTTTGTTGAGGGAGGGAAAAAGACTGTTCACTTTTATATCAAGGTTGACCAAACTAGACTAAAATTAAGGAAGGCTTGATGCTGCATAGTGATAGATTAAGTAATATATGTGTGTTAAATGTTTTGAAAATAATTATGTGGGTTTTTTTGTGAGATTTTTCTGAATATTGTAAACCACTTTGGGTGACCTTGGTCTGTAAAACGCGCTATATACATAAAAATAACTTACTAATTTACTTAAAATATGTCATTGCAACCGATAAAAACATCTAACTATCAATGATTGTAGGTTAATAACTTTGAACTTTAAAATCACCTCTTGCAATACCCTCGTGTAACCTGAGCCATCCGTTCACCTGTTCCACCTGTTTGGGAAACACTGGTCTGACTGACTGGAACAACTCCCAAAACTAATTTAGATGCAAAACATATGAAGCAGAAAACTACTCTATGCACGGCTCTATTAACGGGTGGAGTCGTTTAGGCAAAAGAAGTGAAGGGACATGCATGTGAAGATTTGTACTACTGTACCATGGATGGAGATAAAAATTGCAGTAGTAAAACTTCAGTTCTTTCATTCATTTTCATTGCTTTATTATCCATTTCTGGGTCAGGGGAGTGGCAATCAGAGCTGCCACCCAATTCACAAAGCACCAGTCTCTCACTTATCCACCTGCAGGTGGTGGGTCCACAGGAAGATGGCTGCTCCTTCAACGGCCTTGGATCTTTCAGCAGGAACTTCAGGCAAAGTGTGGTTGAGTGTCTTGCCCAGGGACACAACGATAGCAGACATCAGTGGTGGGATCGAACCCACGACCATTAGGTACAAAGACCAATGCTCTACCAACTGAGCCACTGTAGATTATAAAATACCCTCAGGGACATTTGTTGCAAACACACAATTTTGTCCCATTTTCAAATCGTAGTGTGTTATTTTTGCTGTGTCTCCATTCATAAAGTCCCTGTATTATTGAAGACGTCTCTCCATCACATTTGCCGACAGAGGAGTGCAGCCGTGCATACCTGCTCCTCATCGCCGACGCCGCCGCAGCTGCCACAAACGCTGAGTGATCGCCACGGCAACCGAGGCCTGGGTGCGGGACGGGAGATGGATGGCACGCGGCGCATTAGAGCAGTGATCAGTGTCCACCGCTGGGTAAACAGATGCATCCATGGGGAGAGCAGCGAGATGGCTAACGCAGGCTAGAAGAGGGAATAGTGCAAGAAATCCAATGTGATGTCCAATGTATATAGAAATGTGGTGTTTGTTGAAATAATTACATTGACTTAAAACTGCTAGGAAGAGGTTGGCCGCGAAAATAAATTAAAATGTGTTTACAAATTATTTTAATCAAACAACCAAATGTGTACCAACTCATTGCAATAAAGATGTTCTCCAGGGGCTTTATTTAGTTTAAATCCAACCCAGATAGCACTCCGGGGCGGATCCGCCTTCGATCGCCGCATCCGCCTCAAATCAGATCCGCTGAGCGGATTTGCAGCAAATGCAAATCAGAGAGATGAGAATCCAGCAGTTGTGGATTTAATGAGAGTAGCTCCCTCAAACCAAGCAAGGCACCATGTTTTATGTTTGCATTGTAATGATGTAGCTGGGACAGAAGATCATTTATTCCCAGATTCCTTCCACAGAGCGGACGCTCTCTACAACCTCTGCGGAGTGAACCGCGCTGCGGACGCGCCGCATCAACCACATCTCCCACGCGCAGCAAACTGCCATTTGGGGCAAACAGCATTCTCCGCGAGTTTAACAGTGAGTACGTTGTCAAAGATCATTTATATTATCCCCAGTTGTGTTATGAAGTTAAATAGGGATATAGTGTTTCTGTGTGAGTGTTTTGTATCATCTGTTAGAACGTGGTAAAGTTAGCTATGTTAAAGTTATCCACTAATTAAAAGTTAACAGAAAGCCAATGTTGTGTTTAAGCTAACGGCAGCTAGATAAGATATTCGACTAGTAGATGCTAGTCGAATATCTTAAACACTTTAGTGTCCCTTCTTTTGCGCATAGCAGCTAGTAAGTATTTGCATATATTCACCACATATATAAATATAGTATAAGCGACTATTGGGCTTATGTTATGTGCGCAGGTTTGTCCAATCACAGCAGATATTACACTAGTTTCAAGTCACTAATATTCATTTGGCACTTTTGTGGGACCAAAGTCACAAAATATACTATTTGTTGTATTTATCCATTTACTCCACATACAGATGATAGTACGTCCTTACAGCTGACGCCACCACATCATCTGATCACCACTTATTAAACACATTCATAACTGTTGTATATGTTTCGTACAGTAAGCAGCTGGAAGACCCCATCCATAAACTGTAACTGGTGAAATGTTTTTCTGTTAACAACTCTCACAGCACAGAGGTTGTGGATTCGAGTCCACCACAAGACCTACTTCACGACTCCCACTGATGACTGCTGTCGTTGTGTCCTTGGGCAAGACACTTTACCCACTTTGCCTGAAGCTCTTACTGAAAGATCTCGGCTCCTGTGGACTCACCACCTGCAGGAGAATCAGTGAGGGGCTGGTGCTCTGGGTACTTGGTGCAGCTCTGACTGCCACCCCCCCGACCCAGAATTGGATTAAGAGGAAGAAAATGGATGGATGGATGGAACTCTCACAGCTTACTCCAGCTGGGATCAGTCATTTAAGTCATTTTGATGGATTGATGGATGCACTGTATGTATTTATGTATGTATGTAATATATATATATATATATATATATATATATATACACACAGTTTATATGTTATATATATTAGATCAATATCTAATATATATAACATATCTAATGTTATATTTATGCCATTATTGTTCGTTATATCCACTGCTAATTTGTCTTTCCATAAGATAATGATGTCTACTCAGGCTTCAAATCTTCAAATTACGCTGCCCCCGGTGGAACATCTGGGGTGTGCGGTACCAATTTGCAAAGATTATACGTGTGAATCATAATAAGCTTTGGTCCAGAAGAGGATTTGGGTATTGAGAAGGCTGGAGTAGACTTAATTTGTGGCCCGCCAAAGTGAAAAATGCAACCTGTATTGCACTTCTACCCCTCATCAAAATATGTATGCATTTGTATGAAATGGTTTCATTTGTCAAATGGCTTTGTCTGGAGAATACAAACCAACTTTTAATATTTTTGTACATGTTGGTGTTGTAAATGGCGTAGTAAAAATAAAAATGAGGCAGGGGCATTATATTGGACAATGAATGCATGTACGGAAGACTTGGCATCTGGACTGGTCAGACTGTTGCATCTGGATAAGGTGGACACTGATACAAGAATGGATTTGGTATAGTTGTTTTGAACAGTACAATTTAGTCAAATCCAACCAAATTATTACACACAATGATTTCGGCCAAATAGTTTCAGAATTATGAATATAATAATAATAACAATAATGCATTGGTTTTATATAGCACTTTTCTGGACACTCTAGGACGCTTCACATGTAATTATTCTTTCACTCCATCAACCATTCACACACACCAGACTAGAACATGTGGGTGAAGTGTCTTGCCTAAAGACAACAACAGTTTGGGACAGGTGTCCCACTGTAACACCCGGTGTTCCCAGAGGTCTCCCATCACAGCCCTAACCAGGCCCTGCCCTGCACAACTTCAGAGGTCTGACACGATCTATTGTAGCTTTCGTAAGAATATCAGCTAGACTTCCAGTGCCATCTCATTGAAGTGAATGTTGATGTAACTATCATGGTTGTGTAGTATGTTTTAACTTTTAATGACACAGACATATAATCATAGCCCTGGAGTCAATTGAGAGGATATGGATAGAAGGGAGAGGTTTTTGAGCATGCAGGGATCAAAACAATTCAATGCAACATGAATGAATAAAGTACATACCCATCCATCCATGCATTTTCTTCCCCTTAATCCCTTTTCTGGTTTATTTACACTTTTTGACATGTGCAAACTGAACTTCTGGAGGAATACAGTTTCCGGAACGAATCCAGCAGCCACACTCCTTGTGGTTGTTGTCGGTCCCAGCAGGCCAAGCGTGTTGCAATTTGATGACATAATGACCTATCGCAATATGCCGATAACAATCTCTATTATTGGCCAAATTTCTATCGCATACTGCTTATACCGTTTATATATCGCTCAGCCCTAGTCGGAGTATTCACATCCAACCCGCTACAGCCAAAAGACGAGGTCGCAAGGCGGGCTAAATACCGAGTCGTTCTGACATACCAACCCATGTCGCACAGTGTGGAAGGAAGAGGCAACCCTGAGCTTTTTGTGCGTGTGGGAATGTCTATTATCGAAGCCATGTTCCTAGCTGGATGACATTATCTGCTTGTAATGAGGAACTGTAAAGCATAGACATATAATCATAGCCCTGGAGTCAATTGAGAGGATATAGGAGTGAGAGGTTTTTTGAGAATGCAGGGATCATAACAAATCAATGCAACATGAATAAATAAAGTACATACCCATCCACACATGCATTTTCTTCCCCTTAATCCATTTCTAGATTGGGGGATGTTGATTTGGCTGATTTGGTGGGAAGATTGGATGTGATCATAAGAATACACCGTTTAAGTTTCAGGATGTTTTGAGGTGTTGGAGTGCACATTGTAGTTATAAACATCAAACAACAGCACATATAATAACCCACCATACCTCCCAATCTCCCTTTGGTGTTTATGTAAATGTTCTTTTTTCTATCGGGATCCTGCCCCAAAAATAGCCCATCCCACGCTTTGCCCTGAGGCCGTCAATGTGATTAAACCCGCCCACTCACTCTGCTAACGCTAATCACACACGTTTGTTTTTGCTCCTTCTACACACACGCGTCAAAATGTCCACCTTTATTTGATCCCATTGTCTTATGCATAAACAGTGCCACAATATCGTGCAGTCCCTGAGAGAAATGGTGCTATTTGATGGACGACATACGTACATAAATGAACATTGTTACACGTAATTTGTGATTTTGATGATACTTAGATATCACTAAAAGGCAATTTTTTGCAACTATAATCTGTAAAGGATAAGATAAAAAAATGTGGTACCTACCTTTCAAACCTCAAAACATCGAACTGTGTAACAAAATCCATGTCACTAGTTCCTCGCTCTCACAACAGTTTGGTCACTTTCATTAGGTCAACTTTAAGAGGGACCACCCTCACTTAGCCTATCAGTTCGCAAAAGAAAACACAATTCCTAGTATAATGAAGACCATATGTAGTGGTCTGATTTGTTCACATTTCTTTACTTTTACTCTGTTGAGACAAAATGTGTTCAAGTCACAATGATTGCAATAAGATTTCACACTAAAAAGTTAAGACCTATAAAACTGTTTTCCTGTTTTGTATCCGTTAGAACATCCTTGAACCTTGTGTCTCCAGGTTCAGGTTAAAACAGGAGCCAACATAACAAGAAAAAGCAAAGAACGATATCACATTACAGCTAAATTCACAAAATAAAATCTAAATATGATTTCATCTCTTGTCACCCTGTCCCTCGTCAGCTGCAGTGTACCACTTCTGCATTAGCCCGGCGCTGACAGCTTCCTGCCATATTTAACGTCCTTTAAAATCAATAACAAAGTCAAGTAGCTGGCCGTAATTCAATTTGCGCTCCGTGCTGACATCCCCTGTTAGGAATCACTGTCCGGTCCAATTAGGAGGGCAACCGTTACACGCCAAATTGTGTGTTAATGTGTTGGAGAAGTTTCTATATAGCAACCGTATATGTCCAAAGGCTGACCTATTAGCGCTGGCTCCTGTCTAGTTTTAAGAGAAGACGGGGAATTTAATTGCCTGTCAAGAGGATATGTGAAAATGCATATAGTGTGAACGTATTGGGATGAGATTTTCAAAAGCTATAATGGATATCGAGAAAAAGGGAGATAACGGTTTAAGTATGAAAATGGTCAGTGGTCTATTGCATTTTTTCTGACCTAGCTGGTATTGTTCACATAAAGGGGTAGAGAGCAGAGCGCTATGGCAGGACTGAAGACATTGAATTGATCAACGTCAACACACTTTGTTTTTGTTTTTTTAAGCTGGGGGACCTAAATTTCAAACCACAAAAATAACTATGTAACTCCTTGCTGGCTATAAAACTAGTTTTCACATGCACCAGAATTAAAAATATAAACACAGTTTTGAATCCTTCTGGAATAGTGTGGACATTGGC